AATAGTGGGGGGGGGGGGGGGGGAATACAAACATTACCTGCGGTGATGCTCCGAAAGGTATAAGTTGGCCCCCAACAGTAAAGTATAGTTCCCTGCCAAGCTGGATACATATATATTGAATAAATCAGGTCTAAGGTAATAAGGAGATGGTCACTTGCTAACTTGGGTTTGCCAATGAATATATTAAAATTTCAAGGGGAACATATGCACAGAAAAAGAAGCCAAACCTTAACATGGACCTCTTCCATATAAAAGCTACCAGGTGGCAATGCAGGAACAGAGGCCTTATCCATCAAGGCTCCAACACCAACTTTTTTGTCGCTCGAATTGTCATATATAGAGACCCGGCATGTCACTGGTGTAGTGCCATCTGGAAACTCTAGAGGCAAAGCCGCTTTGCAGAGGAGAAAAGAAAAAGTGAGAAATCAGAAAGCAGAACGAGATGAAAATATAACAGAATTTTCAAAAGAATCAAAAGTACAATAGGATACCTTCTCCATCATGGCAGCAGTCTGTGTACTGGCTTGGAATCGGAAATGCGAAGGATAACCCCTAACAGAGTTGAAATGTTGAACACTAACGGAACATATTGAAACATTTATGCATAAGCAGGCTGAGCTATCTTATCCTATTTGCTTACCGGGTAAAACAGGGTATAAACCCCTCTGTCTTTGTCATAGATACCGGGAAACGTCGGACCAAAAAGTGCATATACAGCTACAAAAGTGGCAAGGGTTGACGGGCCCCTGATGTAAGAGAAACAGTCAACCATGAAACCAGCGAACCATAACGATCTATAACAAAATAATGACTAGACTCACCCAATCAGAGATGTTGCATAGCGCATCTGGAGCCGCTTGACATCATATATCTCAACAAGGCGCAATCTCTTAAAGAACAATTGTGAAGACATCAAACTAAATATAGTATATGCCAATAAAACAAAGTAAAAAAACGTATGTGTAGCTCAAGCACCAATAATGCCTCACACTATTAACTATAGTATGGTTGAGATCGAGGGTTTGTAAGGCAGTGAGATTTACTTCATCCTACATATGTGAGGAACACAACAGCGTTCAGAAAATAATACCTGAGACCAAGGATCAAAACGAAGATGGAACCCATGATCCGGAAAGCTGATAACAATATCAAGCTTCAGAGGTTCCTGTGAGGGATGGATACAAAACCCAGTTACTCAAACTGAAGAAAACTCAATCCATAATCAAAGAGCCTAAAAATGTAGAAAGATTTCAGAAGGAGCAAAGCCTTTGAGTAGATTAGCGAATCAGTTCAAACCTCGTCGTAATATTTAACATGGACAACATCATATATGTTAGGCTGCTGCTCTATCTGAGCAAATGCTTCACAAATAGGCATACCTGAAACAGCATCACAAGTGATCGTCACTGAAGATGGTCAAAATGCAGAAAAGCAAGCAGACGGACTAAAACAACAGAATAAGGTACAAGGTGGCTAAAATTAGTAATGACGGACGCTCATCCAAAATTTCTAATCACCATAACAGAAATTCAGCAGCAAAACATCATTAAGATACTTCTTCTCGTCTTTTAAACAGAGGCTTGCCACGAAATACGCAATCGTCGATCAGAAATTTCCCCAACCGAACACGCAATCGCCGATCGGAAATCGATTGCGATCATTTAACTCTAACAAACGCCGCGAGAAGACAATCCCCTCCTTAAATTCGAAATCGAGAAACAACCCAACAAGAATCGATAAACAGGAGGAGTTGCAGGGACATCATACCGATAGAGAAAGGACCGATGCCGACGCCGGGACGGAGATCGAAGACGGTGGCACCCATGGCTGTGCCTTCCAATCGTCGTCTCGGTCTCTGCATCGTTGGTTAACCCGATCTTCACGCAATCCTCGTAACTTGTGTTAGTTTATCGAACAGAAGGGAAAACAGCATTCAGGCCACGCACGCGAGAAAATCGAACGAGAAGATCCGAATATATATATTTGAGACGCGTGACAACAAATTTGATCCTTTTGCTTTACGGGCCGGCTTTTGGATCCCCAAACCCACCCGGATACGTTAAATCCCTCGATCCTTGATGGGCCCCACATCACTCGGCCCGCCCGTAAAAGCTGCTGCGTAATAGTGTACGTAAACACCCTTTGTAATGCTTTTTTTTTAACCGAACATATGCTGCTTACAGATAATTTATTATTCACATCTTTGTAACCATAATTTTGTTTCGTACGGATAATTTTATATGAGCACCGACTGAATTTGCAATGAATATGATTTGAATTTATACGGATGTTCAAAAATAGTGTAGTTTTTATTTAGATAATGTTAACTGTATACAGAAGTTTCTGTAAACAATGCAACGTTGCATGTAGTCTAGCAAAAAAACAATGTTTAAAGTAAGGTTGAAGAGGAAATTTCTTATTTCGCAGATAATAATAATGTTCTTACCCAAATATATATATATATATATATATATATATGCATTGTAACCAAACATGGGCACGAGGCAGGGCATCATCCCCGTGATCTTATGTCATACAATATTGCACTGTGGATTTGGGCCAAGGCCCAACTAAATTTTTGTGGGCCCCACGAACTTCTAATTGGCCTTTTTTGACCAACAAAAAACTATTCCGACCAAAGGACACGTGGCTCTTATCGGGCCTTTCGTACGTCGCCACAAGATCAACAGGTGTTTCACATGACGACGACACTCTCTAGCCGCGTTTTGACCCCCCACGCGAGAGGGGAAACTTTGTGACGATTTTATCAATTTAGTTTCCTTTTATGACGGCAATGAATTCCATGAATCTTGATTGCTTAAAATGGTTATCTCTAAAAAATGTATATAAATATTACATACATAATACGAAAGAACACCAATAATTTTCTGTTTTCCCTTACAGGCAACAAAATTTCCCAATATATTCATTCAGGTTTATACTTTTACATGTAGATAATACGTACGAACACCAATACTTTTCCAAAAATATATTTTAATGGATGTTTGTCACCTAAAAGAATATAAATTTTACAAACACTGATCTGACGGAAAATACTAAATTAAAGATGCGTCTATTGGGGGTGTTATCGTCATCATTTAGGCTCGGAACAGATGGACGATAAACTCAAATATAACGAAATATAATATAATATAATGGTGACAAAAAAGGTAGTATTTGAAAAATTCCTCCATGCATTTTGAAATATCATGATAGGTTATTATTATTATTATTATTAGAGCCAACTATGGCATCCGCAGTCGTCAAACATCGAAATGTTTATTTACATTTTAGCTGGAAGAATTTAACGGTAGATTCTGGGAATTAATTTGAAATCCACAAATGATTTGGTGTTAAAAATGTTCTCTTTATTAATGGCACAAAGAGAACTCTCTTTTATAAATAAGAGCGAGAGGGAGAGAGGAGGAAAAAAGCGAGGGCACCTAAACATTTAAGAATGGCTTGTCCAATCCGATGACCGCGAGTCCATTTTCGATGTGCCCCCACTGTTCTTCCCCTCGAAACAACTTACCACCACCTTCGTCATCTTCTGCTCCAAATCCCTAAATTTTAGGGTTTTTCTCTCACTGACTCATCTTAACCAGTTGCTCTCTCACTCGATTCCTGTTCCGATCTAATGGACAATCACCAGCAGCAGCTCCGGCAGGGCGAGCCGGGGAAAGCTGCTCTCGCCCGTCGCGGCGACGGCTCCGTCAATGGAATCGATCTCATGAGAGTTGATCTACGCGATGAGATCGGTGAAACTGGAGCTCCTCCGATCGCCGGAGCTTCTTCAACGGTGGGTGTGGTGGTTGGAGTGGACGGTGGTTTGGTGGATGTGTCCATTGAGCAAGAGCCGAAAATTGTCGATGGAGTTTCTCCTGCAAAGCGGAGGCGGGGTCGGCCTCCGAGGGGGCAGGCTAAGACGCTGCCGCAGCCTCGGCCGCCTCCGCCTCGGAAGATGGAGGATGAGGAAGAGGATGTCTGCTTTATTTGCTTCGACGGCGGGGACCTTGTTCTCTGTGATCGCCGGTGGGTGAATGCTGGCTTACCACGAACGTTTAATGGATAGAATTATTAGGGAAAGCAAATGCTTCACAAATAGGCATACCTGAAACAGCATCACAAGTGATCGTCACTGAAGATGGTCAAAATGCAGAAAAGCAAGCAGAGATCGGAAG